TTCGATATGCGAGTAAACAATAAGTTGTTTTTATTCTAGAGCGTTCATTTTATTCTTCTATTCTAACCATAGAAAACGGAAATTTTTATGATTTCTCGACACAACCACACAAAGCATTCCATACATGCGAATTAGCATTACAAATAGAAACAATCTGCAAACCGGCATTGCGCAAAAAAATAAAAAAAATTCAAATTGCGACTGTAGCAAAAAGGGAAAAACAATGTTATTATGAAAGCGTAGAAAAAAATTCAAATTAAAAAAAAAATGTGAACATAAGTATCTAAAGAGGCAAGCAAGTTAGATATAGGCAAATATGTGTACGTGTATCCGTGCATGGCACAACAATACAAGCAAAAATCGAACAGGATACATTTCATGCATGCTTAGTTCGATTGACCGGTGTATTTAATTTCACTCGACGAAGCGATCAAAATGCAGGCACAACAATGACGCATTACTTTTCGCACAAAGGAACGAGTGTAAGAGAAAGAGAGTGAGAGTGCAAGAGAGAGATGGAGCTAAAGAGAGAAAATAGAAGTATAAAAATAGCTATATAGTAGACATACGAACGAATAGAAAGGTTTGCTTGCGACTAAAAACGTGCATTACAGCCTATGGAGCATAATCGACCACTGATACACAAACAAATAAACCGTCACTTCGTTTTATCTATTGTTGTGTTCAATGTTATTCTTTTTCTTTTACCCGTGCATTAGATCAAACAATAGAGACTCCTTTTGATGGTGCATTTATTGTGTCGACGATGCATTTTTATTGAAATAGAATATATATGGTACATGAGATCGAAGGTACCGAGTGGAATGCACACACGACTACACAAATGAATGCGTATTTCTTGATATTGTTGTTGCTGTTGTTCATTGTAAAACATGCAATTACCGTCCGAAGTGGAAAATGAAGAGGAAAAGAAGTGTTAGATGATCAAGGTGCGTTGAGTCGACAACTCGGACCACTTGGGGTTGATTGAAAAATTACATGCGTGAACAATATGCTTTCGATATAGTTTTACGGGTATGCGCGAGAGCATTTAACGACTCACATTCTTGAAGTGACATGGACGAGAGAGAGAGAGTGAGAGAGAGAGAGAGAAGGAAAAGGGGTTTATTTCTCACTCGTTGCCGGTTTTGAGAAAAAAAAATATATTTATGTTTTGATGTCGCGGCAGTCATATGACACATTTATTTATAGGCATGGATGAAGATGATGCTGCTTCTGCTTCTAGAAAAATCCAGTTTTCAATTGAAGACAGAAAAAGTAATTTCTTTTTATGCGCAATAATATTCACTCGTTCAAGAGGTATATTAAGCATCCGTAGTCTCTTTCTCCGACCCAATACTATGGGTATGGTTAGTCAATAGGAAGCAAAAAGGAAATCGAAGATACAATGCCAAATGAACGAACTTGTGAAAATCATGTTTTAATTTGTTCTGTCAGTGTCAATAAGCCGTATGGGAAATTCATAATGAATCTCTCACTTACCCAAATTAAAACTGGATTTTTTCGTGTGCATGTATTGTGGCTATTGTCTGACAGTGTACGCCTTTTGTATTAATTTTGTAACACAACAACCAAATGATTTAGACGGATCGCTATAATAAAAGTCAACTTACCTCGATGTCGAACAAAAGCACACACCACCAAATCATCTTATGCGTCATACGCGATTTTTATTTTGCTCCGACCGATCCTTTCCATTCAAACAATAAAAAAAGTAACGATTTTTTTTGTTTTGCTTCTTCTTTTTACATTTTGTGTTGCTTTATTGGCGTTCGTACATGCGATTAAAAATCTTATTAAAATGAAATAAAGTAAATGATTATACGGTTTAAAAGAGAAGTCTTGTGACGCTTGAATAATGATATATTTTTTATCGTTAACATAAAAGTAGTAAATCGTTTGCCTCACTCGGAGAAACTTTTTTTTTTTCATCAAACCAACATTTCGATATGAATGTTTTTCTCATCGTTATAAAAAAAATGCTACATCAACATCAAGAATTTATCTCGTATTCAAATAAAAACGCAATATGCTCTAAAACCCAGTTTACAATAGCCACTGATGTATCATTGATAACATATTCTGACTATTTTATCGCGTTCACATACTTGTGGAAATGTAGAGTACACACTCACAACTTCCAGCTGTTGTTTGTGTTTTTTATGATTAAAAAAATATATGCTTAACTCAATAACGGAACTAGTTGGTTGCAATTACAGAGATTTTGTATTCTCGACCGATTTGTTGCCAGCATTTGACGATAACCAATTGTTCATGAATCCAGTTTGACCTTTGACCGCAGCGTATGCATTGATAATCACCGGTGACTTCCATTTATCGCCGAAAATATTATACAAAAGGTGTTGATCTCGTGCACAGATCGGAATCGTTTCGTCCAAATGCACATCTGGTTTAATATGCACCGTGAATCCTAATCAAAAAAAAAATATGCACATTTTTTTTGTTCAGCATGGACTCAATTTAATGGGCAATAAGAAGATGAAGAGAGAGAGAGAGAGAGTAAAAAATGTTATGAAATTACCGATTAAAAAGTCATGCGGTGTTGCAGATGGCAAGGCTTGCTGCAGTGAAGCTGTACACCACACCCCGTTTCCATTTGGTTTGCATCCATTTGGTGCCGTGTTAGATTCAAGATTTTGTGGTGATGCCAACAACTGCCGTTTGTATTCCACCTCTTTGGCAACCAGCGATTGGAAATTGTAGCGAAGAACAACCGATTTGCACAATTTTTCGCCGTCAAAATTTTCCACTGCAAGTTAAAAAAAAAACTGCCAATGAAACCGAAATGAATATTGAAGGAGATTAATTTGATGATGATTACTTTTCTCTTGCATTCCATCTTCCAAGAGTTTGTTGTAAGATCGTATGCGATCAATAGCCCAACTCAAATTCATTGATCTGTATCGTGCGGTTATCAAATCAGCCAATTCTTGTGTCATCGTTAATTGATCCACTCGAATATTCTTGATCAATACATAATATGCGCATGCTTCAATGAATGTCAAGCGACGCAATCCGAAATCTAGCATTGACAACGGACAATAAATTAATATATATTTTATTTAGAAACACATAATTTTTTAGTCACTTACCGATATTTTCGTCTGTCATTTTAATCGCGGCAAATAAACAATTTTATTCGGAAATATTTCGATGAGAAAAATTTAAACGAATTGCGAATGTAAATGCGTTGTCTGCAAATGTTGCTGATGTATCGATTCGATGACAAATAAAAAAGTGATGCCAAGCAGTTAAGCGGTGAAACAAATCGACGAAATTTCAAAAGATTGAGCAACGCCCTCTTCTGATATTGGTGCATTGTTCGAAAACTTTTTGACATCTTCGATATTTGAATTGATGCGAATAAGAAAACCGTTTTTTCTTTAATTTCCAGAAATTCCTTCAAAAAGAACAACAAATGTGAATATCCGGTCATAAGTTTTTTTTTCTGCCTACCAATGTAAATTTTTCGTTTTTGAAAAAAAAAAACAATGAAAATGTACGACATATGCGTGCACGTGTGTGTATTCAGTGCACCATACGACGCGGTCATCCAAAAAAAACAATAGGCCGAAATTCATAACGCTTGGCATAAGTGATTTCAAATGAAATTTAGAACGGAGCGTTCAAATTCGTGACTAAAACCGACCGTCAATAAAAAGAAACGAACATTTTGAATGATTTGTCAGCTGGTTGATTCAGGTTTGATGTCATTCATTTTTTCTACGGTTCTTTTGACGAAGATGAATTGGAATTAATTCGGTTATACAATGATCATAGCAACTGGCATTCGCATCACGAGGATGTTTCAAGCGAAAAATGATTAAATCATGACTGACCGAATCTAACAAAAAAAATACTAATAAAAAATATTGCATGTCAAATTGCTCATTGACGGTCGCCAAAAAATGTCTATTGTTGCAAAGCAGCAGCAGCACAGTGAGTTTCTGGCACGCAGCATGACAATGTCCACATTGAAAACGAATGTGCAATATTTACTTGATTCTATGCGCTGGTTCAAAAAAAAAGCAAAAATCACAGTAAGAGGAAGAGAAAAAAGAGCAGAAATTCTGAAAAGAATTTATGTAAAAAAAATGACCTAACTCGTTTCACTGCAAGCGAAAAAAAAAACAGCATAAATATATATGAGAGTGCATTCGAAGTGAAACAAACAAAATGCTTGTTCAGTCATTTTTCGTGACGTTGTTCTTGTCGTATGTATGAAAATGCGACAGAGGTAGAGAGAGAGAGGCATTGCATACACAGAAAAAAAGAACATTGTAGCCCAGAGAGACACTTTGCACACAGAGTAGTGCGCTCAACATTTCATAATGACAACAGTGTGTGTTGGTGAATAATCTGGCATTTAGTGTGTATTATTGCTTGTCTCTCTGTTCTTAAATACAGCTGTTTTCTCTTGTGCATATCTTTCGTCTATCTACCTCTCGTTTTCTTTCTTGCTTCACACCAATTCATAGTAAATGTTTTCTTTTTCTGTTCAGTTACGGACGCAAAGCAATGCATAAAACGTTATAGCCGATATTTGATCGGGCACACACAAACACACATGCCACAAATTGGTTTCCTATGAACGCACAAATACAATTACGATTGACGAGACTAAGCATAATATTATGCAGCTCATTTTTGGTTCTCGTCTCTTTCTCGCTCCTTTCGTTCATTCTCTCTTGTATGTCGTTCAACAGTGTTTTGATCGAAACATATACACACACACAGCCACACTCACATCGTCGAGTTAAATGAGTCGATTTGATGTGGAATGCCAGTGCTGCTGACACAAATACATTCGCACGCATGTTGCCTTTGTATACATACTGATCGTTAAAAAGCATTTGATGTTGGGTCTCGGCTATGCGACTCAATACACCATATCTCCAGTATGAATTAGGCAACGATACAAAGAGGCAACGTTGCATATATTACACACAATTGCACTTACGAATATATTTTGAATAAAAAAAAGAAGATTTGTTGTTGTTTTTTTTTTAAACTGAAGCGTCGTGCCTGTGTCGCTAAACATTTATCGTTTTATGTGATTGCAAAAGAATTTTTGCTGCATTTCGTAGAATACTGTTTTGCAAAGCGAATTAGTGAAAACAAAGATTTTAAATCGTGATCGTTTTTATCGATAAGAACCATTTTACTGTTGTGTGTTTATATTATTTTACTACCGAAACGGAATTTTTGATGAAAGAAAAATATGCAAAATCACCGAATCATTGATAACTGAATTAGATTAAAAGTTACGATTTTTTATTTGGAACCAGTTGAAAAGCAAATTAAGAAATTTTTTTCTTTCTGATGTGTTAAAAGTGATTTTGAGACATAATAAATATTTTATTGAGTTAAATGTCAAGAGACACAATTCTGAAAGGAACAAATATTAATCGTTAATCATCATCGTATCGAGACTGGTTTATCATCGGGATTGAATACGCGCTAATTTGCATATGACACACGGTGGATATTTTTGCAAATGATTCAATACGCTACGGGATTCGATGAATCAAAACTCATGTGAATCAAAGCTAATATTTGAGCTGAGTGTGATTTCCTATGGTGAGGCAAACGTCTTTTAAAGTGTCATAACATTATTGAGTGAATTGTAGGAAATATCATATTGAAAAGAAAACCAACACTATTTCAAACCATTTTTTCAGACCACAAAAACTCATTGAAAACGAGTGTCTTCATTGTCTCAGAATAAATATTTTGCATTTTGCGGTGGCGAAAAAGAAAAGAAAAAGTCGTTTTTTTTCTCGAAATGTTTTAAACGGTCACAAAACTCGTTTCCCAATGAAACTCAAGAGGTGCGTTCATTGTTGCCACTTTGCAAGTTTTCCGCATTCAAATTGGCGTCACGCGTCTCCCTCTCTCTTTCTATCTTATTCTCTGTCATTTCGATTTATTCAATCGTCCAACAATTTTACATTATTTAGACACAACAGAAAAATGCTTGAGTCGCTTTGATCGGTTAGTCGGTCAGTCAGTTTGAAAGCGCAATTTAAAACGAACAGACTAAATAAAATCTCAAAAATATGCAATTTATTTTTATCGTCCGCACACTGTTTGATGCAAATTTTTTGTCTCGTCTCCGATATTCACAGTGAATGCACCGGCCAAGCTCAAATATGTTGTTGTTATTCATGTCGTATTTATAAAGTCACCAAGTAATTTAGAAAAGAGAAATTGCGCGACGAGTGAAATGCATTTTGAGCTAAAACGAAAAAAAAAACCAGCATGTTGCAAACGGTAATTTTTCATGGCAAATAGAATGAATGAATTAATCAAAAGAGTGCGAAGTTAGCTTTGACACCATTTCAAATGAGCCAAACATTGAATGCAAGGTATGCGTCATCGAATGGTGATTGCCAAAAACTATATCAATTTCTGTATACATGTGACAAATTAATTGGACGAACCTTTGTAACATCCAAAAATGGTGGGAAAAAAGAGGTGCACAGTTGCACTATCGTCTACGTTTTACGGTTTATTTACTTTTGGAAACTTTTAAATAACAAAAACATTGTTTATTTTGGTTCAGACTCCGGTCTATTTTGTTGAATTATTCCATTTACACCTCGTTCAATATACGCACAAACGATGCATTCTCCGGAAAAACGAGTAATGAGTAATGCATCGATCGTCGTCTTCTTTGACGCTGTTTGGTATTTTTGCCATAATCCAAATGTGTGTACGTATAAATCTTTTGAAACATTCATTTAAACATGGCACAAGAAAAACGTATATTTTGTGTGTCTGTTTTCGTTGCATCGAAACGCACAGTGTAACGCAATGCCATTTGATACCGGTTTTACACTCTTGTGTATTCAGCACCAACATTCAATGCACCGTGCCTTCTTTCGATATGCTGCGACCGCGTACATTCGATGTTATAGCTCATTCTTTGATCGGTTTTCATAGCACTCACGAATCTGGTGAGAGAAATCATACAGAGACTACGGTTCAAATGGTTGACTTGTAAGCGCGAGCTAATGTTCGTTCTTCTCTTTATCTTCTTCTCTCTCTCTCGCTTTTCGAAATTCTAATAAAATGGTTGCATTGTGTGTGCATATGAAAAAACATTTTGTATTTTTCCTTTTCCACATCATTCATCGAAATCATCGTTCCGATTCACTGCCATTTGCTCCGATATGTTTATTCTATTTTCGTTATGCACACGCACACAAAAACCGTTGTCATCGTACTTGCATGCTCCTTTGAATACATACACTCACTCTCGCAACGAACATCGAAAAGAATAAAAGCGAAAACAAAACGATACAACGACAAACAGTGCTTAACGTTTGTGTTTCTTTTTTCCTTCCTGAAGTTAAAAAAAAATTTAATAAGCATTTGAAGTTGTGCAAGATACATTTTTGAATCATAAAACTAAATTAGGTGGCATTGATATGTAGCCATTTAATCTTGTATGTCCCATCCTCAACTGATGAACTACTGCTGATACCAATGGAATGTTTGTTACACTCTTTTCGAGTTAATGTTTTGTTCGTTTTATTTTTGTTTTTCGCATGTAAACGTTTTGCTGGTTACAATGTTGCTTTGGGTGCCCACATTGAATCCGATAAATTCTTAAATTGTTGCAACGTTTGAAGTTCGGATAAACGACAGTAAAATCGGTGTACAAGAAAATTATATGTTCGGTAATAAGAAGATCGTCGCCAATGAAAGGACAACGACGATGACGGCATTAACAACGGCAACGTTGACGGTGCCAACGAGAGCAATTGCATGTGGTTTCCGTCAATATGCCAATTTTGGGTAATATTGTTGTTGTGTTGAGTTCGAATTACCTTTTTTTTCTTCTCGGTCGCATCCCATTGTTGTGTCAGTGGCAGAAGAAGAGGAAAAATATATGTTGCCATTCGATTGACGTTCGCCATCGAACGCTATAATTTTCACTCGTCGCTCTTATAATCGCATTTTCTTCATTGATTTCTTAGCTCCTTTCCACTCGATTAAGTTTTTGTGTGTTTGTTTTTTTTTCAATGATTCTCTCGTTTCACAACCTTTAAATATCGATGAACAACGAATTTCATCTCAAGATTTTTCATTGACAGTCATGAGCTATTCGCAAAAATACACAAAAACTATCACAATGTGCAACAATTTGAGTCATCAATTTTCAACCGAAAAAAAGCGTTCTTCGACAGACTGAATGGTTAAATTCATCGGGAAATTATACATACGTATTCGTCGATCGGTTTGATTGCCTAAGTTGAAAATTGTAAAGTGTTGTCATTACACAAACATGAATCTCACAAAACCACTTCAAGTCAGTTTTTTTTTTTGAATTTCTTGAATCCGTTCCAAGCGCATGTAAATCAAGTCAGTGAATTCTTTTTTCTCTTGCATTTAAACAGTGATTTGTCGCGACAATCTGCAAATATTCTAAATGCAATTTTTCAATTTAGACATCGTTAAAGCAGAAGATTGTGCTGGACGTGTGCTGAATCTCTCAGCAAATACTTGAGATCATTATCGCCAACACACACAACACGAAAAGATTCACTGTGCGCACAGGCAATCATTGAATTGACGCTCGTTCAACTCTCTTTCTCTCTTTAACTTTGAACAACTGTCATTGCACCGAAACCATGAATATAACATTTATTAGCACCGACAGACAATTTAAAATCGCTTAACATTTTGTGCAAACTCATGACATCGAACAGAGGATGGAATATTCACTTTTCCGGCTTCAACAAAATTCGAAGAGAAAAAACGAGAGAGATAACTTCGTTCTCATGCATCTTTCACTATGGTAATAAAAATGCATTGAGAAATGTCTTGGCATTTCATAAACCTCATTCGTTGATAAGCATCTGCGTTCGGCATTTCTCCCATTTTTATGACAATATACAATATATATAAAAAAAAATGAAAAGAGAACGCTCATAAATTCAAGCATTTATCCTGTTGTCATTGGGAATTGATGCAGTCGAAAGTAGAAATACTGGTGGCAATTTGATGAATGATAAGCTTCTGTATGTGCACATCCCATGGACCAATGCGTGCAGTGGCATCCAATGCAAATATCCCATACGGTGTACACTCTTTTTTTTCGTCCATAAGAAGAAGAAGAAGAAGAGAAAATTGATTTTATGAATTGAAAATACCATCCAATGGGCTGTCGAACTCTTAAACTGTCGATGTGTATGCGTTGTGTTCGTTTTAATTTATCTAAATGCAAACACGACTTCCACTCTGTGTGTGCATCTCAATGGTTGAATACATTATACAAGAAGATGAACAAACAAGCGAAACCAAATAAGCACATATATGAGAAAAACACACATCGAGCATTTCACATGCGGTCGAAACTAAAAAAAAAAACAAAATTGATGGAATTTTCCACATATTTCACATCGGCCCTGATTCAAACAACAACCAAAAAAGATGTAGTTTCTTGTGACCTTAGACAAGCGTGCATCATCAGCCATGTCCAACCAAATCTGGAATTCAATTAGACCAAATTGAGCATCGCTAATGAAAGATTAGACGATGCTTTGATTGCAACGGAAATGGTTTTCTTCTCCCTTTTCTTTTTTTTTTCAAATAAAACCGCAACACACAAAAGAGTATAAAAATTGATATTTTTATTGAATTCCAGCAATAACTCCTTTGTGAGATGATCAACGCTCAATCCGTTGTTGATTAAATTGTCTTCTTCACAATGAAAAGAAGATTTCGGTGTCGATCAAACACCCATTGAATCGTGTAGATATTTTTCAATTAGGCTTTTGGTCTACATTTTGTAGATTGGTTATAAAAATCTATATAGACCATTTATTATGAACGGTCATTGTCAGTTCAACCGGTTTGTTTGATAAAAAATAAAACGAGTAAAAATGCTTTGCATGAAATCAATTTGAAGCAGTTGTCGTTTATAGCTTAAAATACAAAATGATCAATTATTTCGAAATGATGAAAGGATTGCTAATCATTTTTACCCAGATTCATAAACCGGCTTTAATTAACCGACTTTGATGCGATCGCAACAGATTATCCGGGCGATGAGCGATACAATCGACGAAATGATCGTAAATTAGATTTAATGCTTTGTCTTAACATCGATTGGTTAAACTGAGAAATTTACATACAAGCAAAATGAAAACACAAATCATAACTCGAGGTAACCGTACACGGGAATCATTGATAATGTAATATACAGCGTTCTCAACGGCGGCCATTTTTCGATTCCGACGCCGATCCGACGCCGAGGATATTCAATCCGAGGCCGACCGATCTCCGAATATCTCGGATCGGATCGGATCGGTGGTCGGTCGTGGTCGGTGCTCGGAGTTCGGAAAAATTTAATGAAAATAATTTTTTTTTATATTTACCAAATGGTTAAATATTATTTGAGTCAAAATGAATAAAATTTTATTGTTCAAAATATCCAAAAATCCTATCTAGATAATAACTCATTTTTATTTAAAAAATTATGTGAACCAATGTGAACGGAAGATCACCATGTAGTAACTAATCGAAAATGCAATAGATGGCGATACTTTGCTTTGCAATCTCAAATTTTGCTTTGACAAAACTGTCAATATCAATGATACATTTTTTAGTGAAAGACATTTTGACATAGTACTACTGAAACAAATTTGAAATTGAAAAATTACCGCAGAAAATAGGAAAAAATATTTACGAGGTAAATATAGAACTAATTGAGTACTGCCTGCAGATTATAAGCAATGGGCTTTCTTCCATCCGGCATGGAAACGAATGGATAGTTTTAAGACCGTCAATCGTCGAATAATTGTTGATCAAATAAAGACAAGTATAGGTAACTTCCTAATTCACACTGAAATGGAGCACGAAGATGTCGGACCGTCCACCGAAAATTCATCTAGATCAATATTTGAAAAACTTCAAGACAATTGCTCTTCACCACCTATAACACAGAACGATGCGAGTCAAGAAATTGAAGATTACATCAACCTTGGCGTTCCAAATGCATTGAATATTAATGTTATTGACTGGTGGGAGGTCAATCATTCACAATTCAATTTAAAAAAAATATTGGTTTTAATTTTGTGAGCATCCGATCAATATCCGAAAACCGAATTCCGAAAAAAAATCCGATGGAAAACTCGTTCCGACGCCGACCGAACTCCGAGTATTTTCGGTTCGGATCGGATCGGCGGTCGGTCGGCGGTCGGACCTCGGTCGGATTTGCGAACCCTGGTAATATAAATGATGGAATCAGTAACGCAATCGAATATCATATATTTTAATGCGTATTCACCATCTTTTTCGTTTACATTTTCCGAATGTTGCTTACCTGCGTCGGTCATTTGTTTTGATTGCAATCGTCACGGAATCACGTACTTAGTGATTCAAACAACGTAGGCGACGCGTCTTCGTATCTTGATAACAATAGGCTCTTATGACAATTTATTTACACTGTATTTTCTGTTGATTTCCATAGAAAAAAAACACAGACAAAAAAGAACAGACTTGTGACGATGACAATGTTTAGCACATTGCCTTTTCGTTAAAACGATCAACGGCTCCGATTTCCGTTGATTTTTCCACGAAGCCATTTTATCTGATTTTAAGTTTTGCATCAAAAGAAATGAAAAAAAGCACCAAAGAAATGTATATAGACTTCGAAGAAAAATGCATCTCTCGTTTGCATTTTGTGTGCATGTTATTGCTTGTGTTTGTTTAGTCAACGAAATTCATGTTGATGGCAAAGCACAACTGCAAATGACATTTACATGTTTGTGCTGTGCTTTATTACTTTCGGATGAACAGAAAAAAAAATTGTGATCGCAAATATATATAGAAATGTTCAATAAAATACGCATTTGAATAACGGCCGATTTTGTCTGTATATTTTACGCTCGATTTGAAATCCATTTTAATTCATGAAATATACACTGTATAACAAAAGTCGCGCATTGACAGAAAGAGCGCGATCGCGTTCGTGTATGAAATATGCAGAGAAAGAGAAAAAAAGAGAGTACCATGAACAGGAGGCGAGTGAAAAGAATTTCATTTGGCCGGTAATCGTGCATGGAAGCATGCTGTCGCTTAATTCGATTATATTTGCTTAAGTTGATTTAGTTTTTGCATTCAGAATTCGACTCTCGAATATGGTATATGCAAACCCGGAAAAAACAAATACAGCTAAATTGTGTTGAGTTTTGGCACACACACACATACACCAGTATCAGCAGCAGCTACAGCAGCTGGTATGAACAGAAAAATAAAACGTTCCCTCGATGCCGTGCAATGCAAACGGAATTCCGTTTCATGAAAGGGGGAATCGAACACGGGAAATGCCATAAAATCATTCGACTCTTCAGAGAATAATATCGACCCATTGAATGAGGTGATGAGAATATATGCAAAGTAATCACATTTTGAATTAAATACATTGAACCGATTGACACATATGAAATGGATCTAAACTTTCTATTTTGCATTCTTGTTAATAAAATGAAGTTCTCGAATTTCATCATAGATATGCAAATGACGAGAAGAATTTCGATTTATAAGTGATTGTTCAATTGAACTGCAATTGATACGAAGTGTTAAATTGATTCAATGCACTGCGACAGACAACGGCTTTTATGTTTTCTTTGAAATGAAATGGTGCGAACAAGAACATTTCATGTTGTGCATTACACGTTGGTTCAATGGTCTCACCTGCCGAAAAAGAAATATATGGTCGGTCGTTCTCTCATTTTTTTTCTCTATAGTCGCTCCCAATGTTAAAAACCGCATACCGTGTGTGATCAGCGGTCGAATATACCAAAAGCAACATTAGTAATACAAATTAATGGAAATGCCGACTCTAATATCAAAACCAATACACTATGAATGCATTAAAATAATGATGATGGTTGTTGTTGTTGCCGACTGAATGAATAACCAAAACCTGGCGACAATACACAAAAATAGAAAGACATAGAAAAAAACCAAAGAGATACATTGAAAACTAGATAGCTACACAGAGAGACTGTGTGTGTGTGTGCGTGTGTGTGTTAGAAAAGCAAAACAACTCGTAAAGAATAACAAACAATAACGCACATAAATATACATATGCTTTACAAATATGGATATGGGTATTTTTGTTGTTATTATTTTGTTTTTTCTTGTCTAAATGGAACTCATGTTGCGTATATTGCCTTCAACGAATTATACACAGAATTGGTGGTGTTCCGACATTGGAATTCAAAAATCGACCGATAATATATATTTCATTTCGATTGAACAAACATACATGTAATTTTCTAGTATTTTATGACTTTCTTCCATTTCAATAAATTTATGCATGCACCACAAGGGCACCGCTTCGCGTATACCAAGAGAAAACCATAACAACAATGACGACGACGACGATGCGTTGATCAATGTAGCATAATCAATGGCTTAGATTATTCATATTTATTGGAGATTCTCACATCGATATCATATCGATATTTTAATTTATGCATACGTTTTTTTTTATTCACACTCATTTGGTTTATAGACATTATTCATTTTCTGGAGCGAGTTGTTTTTTTTCGCTTTGTCAAATACCATAATTCGATGAACATTCCAATTTAATTGGTGAATTGTGGAACAGATGTTGAGATCTTTGAAAAATGCAAATTACCTACTTTTGATCTGAAATGCGTGAGCAAAAATCAACCGAAATAAATAAAAACAAAAGCCTCTGGGCTTGAAAGTTGACATTTTTTTTGCTTCGAATGTTTTTTCACAATTAATATTCAAATGTGAATATCAGAATTTTTGCACTTTCTATATGTCCTAATTTACATGTCCACATTACACGTACGGCATTCTAAGGTAATTAATTAATTTTTTGTTCGATTTGCCACTTTCAAACTGGCTGATAAATTTGATGAACTTAATTGAGTCAATTTCGAAAGTCAATATGAACCAAAATGGTAAGAAGAAAAAAAAGACCAACAAGAATTTGAGAGCGTTTTCTAAATCCGAAAAAAAAACGGTAGCAAACGAATAATTTAAAAGAGTTAGCAATGTGTCGGAATGGTTTGAAACACACAAACACCCGCTGGGTAACATCAAAAAGACGAGAAAAAGGATTAGAAAAATGAGAAAGGAAATGAGCACTCATTGTTTGAGTTTTGGAAAAAGAATGTTTTTGAATTGCGTTGTGATTGTTTTCAATATGATATTTCCTATTTTTCGACGCTTCAAATTTTAACGATTATTTCCGCCTTTGGTTTTTCTAGATTTTTAACAACGACTGCATAGAGAAAGGCAATAAATCATAATTTTGCTGTCGAACAAAAAAACATATAGTTGTTTAAACAAACGTATATAAAGAAATACTCATTTTAAAAAGGCGATACACTAAAATATATATATTCCCTTGTCAAATGGAACGATAAGTAATTCTATTTACGTTCATGGTTTTAAATAAACACACAAGTGAGAAATGATAAGCGAACGTCAATCACGGCGGAAAGAATAAAGTCCAACGAAATAAAGAAAATAAAAAATTGTGTGGTTATTTCGAGACGAAAAAGCTGACAATTCGTTTGAAAATATGATTCAAGCGGTTTCAAGTCCGACCGAGAATGCATTCGCCAACAATACAATTGAGACGCCGCGTCGTCGATCCACATTTTATGTGCCGCTGACAATAGCCGATATCGATGATAGCGTCAACAATAAAACGTTGCATCAGGATGATAGTAGTTTTAAGAAGGAGCGTCAAAAACGATCGCTCGATAAAATTTATAAACCAGATATCGCGTGCAATTATGGTTGGAGCCTAAATGATTCTGCTGATTTGATGGCATCAAATGAAGTGGAGCTACGAACGGGCGTTAAACGAACAGCATCTACATCGACCGCATTATTTTCGAGTAAAAATGATCGAGCTATGGGCGAACGACCGATTAAATCGAATTCGACATCCGAAGTAAACAATCGAAATAAAATCAAACGATATGGCATCGTGTTAAATGGCAGCGTTAATTTAGATGACGATGAAAAATTGCAAATAAATGACGAAAATCAGTGCCATAGAGATGATGATGATGATGACGAACAAAAATCGCCATCGAGCACATCGACACCCATTAAATTAATGAAGTCACGAAGTCGATCGAATATTTTATGTTTACCGGACAAATCATTTCAATTGTCGCCGTTGAAAGAAAAATCGAAAACGTTACCACAAAACCTATCGCCCAAAGTATTAACATCAGCATCCGTTTCGAATATAGCTGGTACAAATGCATCAACCTTCCCGCCAAAGTATTCATTTTTATTAAAATCATCACCGAAAATTTCGCTAAGCTATTCATTTGATGCAGTAGCTGCTGGCACAACATCAAGTCCTGTATGCAGCAGTACAGTGCTAATATCACCGCCAATCATCGATAAAAAAGCACAATTGGCAATGTCACCATCATCTAGCTCATCACCGCGCAAAGCGCTTAGTTTTATTCGACGCGCACATTCAACCAAATTGTCACGAAGCAATTCATTGCTCAAGAGTCTCACGACGAAATGTGTCGATCAAACGGCTGAAAATCTTCTAAATCATCCGGTAACTGAATTGGCATTCGATCGTTTTGAAGAATGCTTTAAATCGGACAATTTTTTTGCAATGATAAAAGAGTTGTTTGTGCTAAAAGATGTTGCCACCAATGATTCAAATTGTGGATTGATAACTGATTCAACAACCATAACCGCAGTAGATACATCAAAAGAACCAACTGAAAACGATAAATGTGACGAAGAAGAAGTGCATTCGGGTAAATATCATTAATTACTCTCTACTATAAAAAAAAACCTATAATAAAATCGTTTCTCACCGGATTTAAAAAAAAAAGCCATTTAAACGGATTAACACCGCGCTTAATTTATGGACACATTAAAAAGAAACCACTCCGGCAAAATATTTTGATGGAATGTTTTCTCTTGGAAACAGAGAACAACGAATGACATGATTTTTCTCTTCTTCGTTAACTGTTATGACGTTAAAACTTGAAGCGATACACTTTTACCTTGGAAATGGAATCACACATAAAAAATTCTCGATGGCATTTTTCAATGAGATCGAGTGAATTATTTAAAATATTTTTGTGTGATTCTCTGCTTTTAATTGGGAAGTTTCTGATTGAGATGAAACGAATAAACGGAAAAAAATCCGACGAATTTCTTACTGCGTATGTTGTTTGTTGTTTTTTTCTTCTTTTTCGCTGAAACCAATTCACACACATCAATCGGCTGGAAATTCAATGGGAATCAAATAAACACACACATATCACGAAAGTCATTCGATTAAATCGAGAGCGCATGACATGCTTTTTGTTTTCTTTTGTCGGTTCACTTCGATTTTCTTGTCACGCAATTCTCACACGCGGATTTTTGAAATATTTTATTAGATCCATTTTATTGCGTTCCGTTTCACTTAGAAATAGAAAACAAAGTGAAATAAGATTTGTTTTTATTTTGCTTTGCGCTGTTCAACGACGATGACGTGAAAGTGATGTAGAGCATGTGGTCTATGAGTGTTCAATAGCGAAAGTGCTACCGTATTTATTTATTTTTTTCATCACCAAATCGAATTCATCAAATTGATTAAGCAAAATCTGAAAATGGATTTGTACTACATGTATGGAAAATTTAAGCGAGACCCTTTTAGTTAAAAGCCAATTACAAACAGTTTTAAATTGTCAAAAAGCACGTTTATTTTTCCTGCGTGATCGAAATCGTATTTTATATTCAATTGCTCAATTAACTCAATAACGTTCAAAGTCTACAATTATGGAAAAGATTTGACGTGCCTTCGTTAAGATTAAATAATCAAAATGTATCTCGATCAAAGCAGCGCCCACACTATAAATGGCTAAATAAAAACACTCTCGCCTGAATTGATGATGATCTACATTTATGCTGCTTGCGTTGGATTCATTTTATCATACGATGACGGTAGATGATTGACGCCAACGATTTTTCTTCCTTATGAAATATACCAATGCAATTGAAATCGATTAAAATGCCATGATTTCATTTTATTATTTCCATTCTTTTATGCTCGTTCGATTCATTTTTTGATTCACCCGTTTCATTTATGTGGATTCATTGAAAACACAATAGTAACACATGTTGAAAGAACGCATCGGCGTAGGCTTCTTCCTCTACAAAGACAAATTGTTTCATTTCAATATGACAGTCTATGACAACGGACATTGTATTTCATCAAATCCGTTATCGTGTGCTTGACATAATAATCGGTTTTCTTTGTTTGTTTTGGTTTAATTTGGTATCGAAGACGACTCTTCGACATATCAATTTAAATGCGTGCACAACGACCACACGTTTTTTTTTCAAATCACACTTAATTTGCATTTTTATGCCAGACGATGCCATTGTTATCTATTAATAATAAAGAAAAAATAAATAGATTCGAGCGGAAGAGCAAAATGTGTGCGCGACACACACGTTGCAACTTCGTCACGCGATAAACTCAAGAAAAACGAAAGAGAAAAAAATGCATTTGTGGCCTTTCATAAATCGGTATCCAATCAAGAAAACAGGTATAATCGACTGGTTTCGTTTTAATTAAAATTTATGGTTTTGTGATAATAGCATATATGCTAGTGAAAAGACGAAATGTTTCACGTGGCGATAGAGTAAGCCAGACTCGAAGAGAAGTTATGGTAAAAATCATTTGAAGCGATCTGCCAATCAACATCAATCGAATGCTTGTTCACTTGCCTTAATAAATCATAAAAAACGTCATCAGAAAACGATACGAACCCAACATGAAACAATCAAAATTACAAAATCAAAAAAAAAAATGTCATCACTGATGTAAATGCCACAGGATGATGATGGTGCATAAAACTTAAAATAATCAGTCTCCAGCCAGTAAATGGAACAAATTAGTTAAATTTAAGCAATTCCATAGAAAATCGATGTCATTGCGTTTTGCGTCAATCCTCAAATCCACTCAATTCACTGCAATTGAGTTTGGCTTTGTTTTTATTTTTATCCAGTCACATGCCACTGTAATCTGCCCATTGTGCACTCGAATCGAGCCGCTTAAATTGAAATTTTCATTTAATTCGGTGTTCGTTTTCTCTCTGTCCAATTTCGACTCGGTTTTGGAACGAATAAAATGACTTGGGCGAAATCAAACCGTCAAGTCATGACACATACAATTGAGGATGATCGCATTGCTTTGTATCATTATCAGCATGCAATTGAATGAAATATGTGCCCACATTTTTCGAAATTCAACTTTGGATTCTCATTCATTTGAATAACGAATAAAATCAGACGCATACGTGCACATTAATGAAACTACATAGTTATAGAGGAATACTTCGTGCGCATACATAGATGTAATGAACTCGTGACAATAGTTTTGTATATGTAGCAACAACCATATCGAAATTTAAATCGACAATTCTAAAGTTTTTATCTTTATTTTTGTGTCTTCTTCCGAGTCACCGCGCGCTTACTTTTTTATCGAGTATTTTTTTGGGGGGGGAAAGGAAACTTATGAACTTATTTAAAATAATCGTTGCGCCATTAAACGTGCGTTTGATTTTAGCCACATGCTAACGATAATAAAAAGCAGGTGGCCCGCATCTGTACGACGAAAAACGTTAATTGCGTTGAAACGTAAACGTGACAAGAGAAAGAATAAACGACTCCAAGCTTTCCGTCTTATTGACATTCTTCTAATTGCTTTCTAATGCCAAGTTTGAGTTCGTTTTATTCAAATTTTTTGAAACCGACAACGAAAACGCTCTTCTTGCGAAAGTACATAAATGAAGAAAAAACTAATAATGAAGGGCCAACTTCAATGGGCTACTTCGAATGAAAGACGCTTATTTTAGAATTTTCCCTTTTTAAACAAATAATAAATATCAAGAAGTTTACACTGAAATGCATCAGAACAATGCGTTTGAAGTGGAAGAAAAAACAAAGAGCAACCAATTTCCATGCGATGACTGAAAATGGTAAACAATAGAGAAACTACTTGTTTTGTTTTGTTCTCTTCTCTCTCTTTTTTTAAATATATATATTTTTTACTTGAGTTTTGCATTTTAAATTGATTTACCGTATCGTCGAGTATGGTTCATTTTTGTAGTGCTTCCTTTATAGAATATATTCATATTGTGTCGTGGTATTTTTTCTCTCTTTTTTTGGTTTGTTGTTTTGGTTGACAGTGCACAATAGCCGACACACAGAGTAAAAAAGAAGAAGACGTTATAAAAGACCCGACGCGACAACGGAAACCCTTTAAGCGTCGTGCTCAACTGCATCACACGTTTCTTAGTGATATGCTAAAAACGTTCTATGTTCTTAATCCATATACATATTTGAACGAGTCGAAAATTTAGTTTTGCCTTTCATTGGATTTGTGCTGTGCATTTCTTGTATCCATTGTTCACTATGGTTCAAATGTTTTGAAAATGATGGCAAAGAAGAATGAGTGCGAGCATATTGCGCAACAAACGAAATTGTATTTATACGACTGACGAGCACACTCACAGAGTGTCATTAACAAACAACTAGTTACGATGAAAACTACAGCCTCAGAAATCAGGAATCAGGTCAACAACGACCATAACACAAGAAAATCTCAGTGGGTATTGTTCTTCATTAGCTTGATTTTTCTGTAATGAATTTTTCAGCCTCTACTCTCTCTCTCTCTCTTCGGATACGTTGTGTACTCGATTGCATCATCGAAACAGTACTCATTATCGTATGAACAATGGTATGCTGTTCTATAAATCGCCGTCGATTTTTTTCCCTCTTTCTAAATTTGGGTTATTTAGCTGATGAAATCCACTAATTCGATGAGAAAAATCATTTTTTCCATGCGGCGAAGAAAATTGACGATAATTTGCTAGCGAAACAAAATTGGCTACTTTAAAATTAATGGAAATTCTATCGAATTAACCAATACGTATTCGGTTTTCTTTTTATCTTGCCAATGGCGTTGAAATGTCAAATTATCTACAGATATCGAAGCTGTAATCCGCTAATTAGATTATATTCAAAACAGTGATCGATCGACAATCATGAGATCAGTTTTTTTTGCTCTCGAATTTAGCACACGGCAAAGTAGTAGCAGACAATTGTAATTGTTGTCGTGCTCAACAACATAACGGATCAAACACTTATGGAAAATACAACGAAGAGAAAAAAAAATATGTGCACATTTTCTGTTTCTCAATTATTATCAACAGTTCCGCATTGATTGTCATTAAGGCGTCATACACCTATTTATGGAAATTATAATGTATGCACTATTGATTAGATTGAAAGTCCATGCGAATACAGTTATCACGCGCAATGCTAATGCTGTGCACAACGGCAAAAGAAATTACAAAATTGGAATTTCTAAAGAGTTTAACACCATGGTGCAATGCACACTCCGATATTATCCAAAGTCTCTATGTCTTCCATTCATAAGATACACATTTCTTTTGCCGCATTGTTTACGGTTTATTTTCCTTTTTTGAAAATTCGTATCTATCTATTATACGCGTGCTTTCAATCCGATAATTTATTGTTTATGATTGGACGCCGCTGTGATTACTTGGTGATTTAAATATGTGTGTATGTTATTATTCGTTCAACCTCATTGACGTTCCTTCAAATTGCCGGGCGAATGAAGAAGCCAAGGATCGAGGAGGCGGTAAATTGCTCCATAATTTAATGTGAACTTGGAAATTATCATAAAATAAACGATCGCCTTCGGCATAAACGTGTGTATCTGTCTGCTGAT